AAACTAAGAAAATACATAGCATTATGAGTCTGAAGCATATCATATGATGGTCATCTTATTGCACAAACACGTGAATGTGCATGTTTTTGCTACTAAAATTGCAAATTTGAACATGTGTGCTGGACAATAATATATCAAGAACAATGTTTGCTTAATACAGTTAGACCTCTCTAATGCTAAGCACACCTTTTATAATAATAGCGATAAGTACATACCTTTTCTAATGCATGCTCAAGTGCTGGCCCAAATACATCTAAGTACACATCCTTGTGACTACACTTTAATAATGTGTATATAGAAATAATAAGAAAAAGTACATTTATAGAGGTCAAGTATATATTTGGGCCAGCAATTGAGTATGTATTTAAAGAGGATGTGTAGTTATAGAAAGTGTACTTAGCTGTATATACTTGATCTCTATTAATACACTTTTTCTTATTATTCTCTATATGCATATTATTAAAGTATAGTTCTAAGAGTGTGCTAATTTTCAATGTGTTATTATACAGCCAGACTCTAATGCTAAGTGCACCCTCTATAAAGATAAGTGTATATCCTCTTTAAATGCATGCTCAAGTGTCAGCCCAAATTTATACTTGACTTCTATAAATACATTTTTTCTTATTATTCTTTATATGCATATTATTTAAGTGTAGTTCCAAAAGCATGCATTTAGCATTAGCATTAGAGAGGTCTAATTATACATATGCACATACATATATGCATACATTTTATACAAAAATTTTTGCTAAGTTTGCATTTATTGTTGTAACTTCCCTATATATATCGATATTGATATTTCAAATTTAAGCAAAAATCTCTCATGCTAATTTAAATTTGTAATTTGTGATGTCTTATCATTATTGTTAATATTAATATTAACATTAAATCCAAATTTTAAAAAATTTTATAAATATAATTCAATTTGCTTTTTCCTTGCTATTGCTATTTGCAAGTTTTTACTATTTCAAGATTTATATTGGACAATATAATGATAATGGCAACTAATATATCAAAAGCTCATAAGTTTGATGAAGAATTAGAAAGAATTAATGTGTAACTTATTAAACAGAACATTAGTAGCAAGCAATTAACAAATGAAGAATTAAAGTTAGAAATATCTTCTATACAAACAAAAAAAAGAACAATTAGAATTGCTACTTTCTGAATATGTTAATAATAAAAAAAAAATTGAACAATAATTAGTTTAAAATCAGACACCTGATTTGTATGTTCTGTCATCTTTCTTTATAAAATTTTATTATTTTATTATTAGTATTTCTTTTTTTTTTTTTATCATTGTTTATAGATATATATGTTAGTGTACTCAACTTAGTTATAATCAGACGCAGTATTGAAAATCATATATGTTCACAGTACTTATAATAAAAATAAATTTTTTAAAAAAATTATAATTTTTTTTTATTTTATGCTTATATTTGTAAATATGAAGAATTTTTATCTAATTAATAAAACTTTATTTATGATCATTATATTTTTTTAATGTGAACATAAAAAAAAAAGTATGTTTACAAAAACTATCATATTGTATTTGAATTTTTAATACTGACTAGGTGGTCTGTTCACCTGAATTTGTTGGTTTAGTGGATTTATTTGAAAATAGCAATTGTATATTCTTAGTCCTATTAAAAATATAAAAACAAAGGTTTTTTGTATCAAAACAAAGAGAGTTTAGTCGAGTTAAACACTTAAAAAACATAACAAGTAGAAGTAGTAACTCTAAGTAGTTTATACTTATATTTGTGTCTCTAATAAAACATTTAATAACTCTTGTTCTGTCCCATTATCTTTGTTAAAATCTTGTAATCTAAGTTGAGTCTTGACCTTTAAAATTTGAGTAGAAGTATCGACTCTAAGTTTTTTGATAACCAAATAAACTCTTATATCTGAATCACTGTTAGAACCTTCTTGTTTCTTAGATTTCACTCTAGCCTTATTTTCAATTTCTTCTTGAGAATAAGAAAGAGAAAGAACCAATTAAGTGATCCAAAACTAGAGTTGGTGGTGCAATTATAATTGTAGTGATGCATCACATATATAATGAATTTTTATTTGAAGAGAAAAAAAGAGTTGTAACTCATATTATAAATGCAGAAATGCAATAAAAATTTATAGGAGTACAGAACCTACCCCTGCAGCATGACATATCCCCTAATTGTTAACTGAACTGACAAATTGAATAGTACTGTTAGTTAACCAGTTAAGCAGCTGGTTGGTCAAGAACCGATTGATAACTGAATAATACCTCTTATTAATCATAAAATTTATTTTTTTTGTAATCATTTGTATTTATTACTATAATACCAGATCTGATTATAATTTTGTTAGTATTCATTAGAATATTTTGAATTTGAATTACTTTTAACAAAAAATTTATTTATTTTAAAAAAAATCTTTAAAAAACATTTCATAAAATTGCTATATAAAATGATTATTTTAAAGCAACAAAAAAACTGTTCATATAATATAAACCCATATGTATCGAATAGAACATTAAAACAATTAATTTTTATTAATTGTTAATCGTTAAAAGAAATGAAATAGTAGGTATTAACGGTTAAATGTGATACGTAATCAAAAAATTATCACGGTTTAACAATATTATATTGCAGATCATAGAACATACCGTATTTCGCGGGCCAAACCACCCCTCCCCTGTCGGATCATGCGGATATTTCCATGGTGCATATCAAATTAATAACTTGTATGTTGTTTTATCACTACAGTATAGAAAACCAATCGCCGGTACGTAGTAGACATAACAAATATATTATGCATCCGCATGCACCATCAAAATATCCATATTATCCGGTAATTATTTTACAGGGAGGGGTGGTTTGGCCCGCGAAATACGGTATTTGGTGACCGATAGTGACTACGTATCAATAACGTTGTAATAGAATTGAACAAACTATAGTTATGATCTTCATAACACATTCACATACACATATACATTTCATCAACCGGGTATCGAACTCGGAATTACCCACCAATGAATGACGGGCTAACTACTAGCCCGTGAAGATTTAACATAATAATTTTTTCTTATAATTTTTATTATACAATTACTATTATTATTTTTTATACAGCAATTCTTTCATATAACCAGGAATTGGGTTTTTTCCGTGATATTTTGCATGTAATTTTGTGCAAAAAATATATATCATGGCAAAACAATTCACATGATCATATGAAATGCCGGATAATTCTTTATTTATTATTACTTATTACGTAAGAAAGTTGAGTTTGAAAAATTGCTCCCACAATCAATTTAGATACATCATTGCAATATCTCAGCTGATCACAGGGTTTTCACGGGTTTCCTTCTTGGCGAATAAGATTTCTTTCCTTTGAGATTGTTATTCTTGTTTTATATTCTTTATAGATGATTTAAAACGTGAAAATATCAGTAAAAAAAAGTCATGCGTGAAAAATTATGAGCCGTGTAATAATAATTGTGGCTGCTGGGATTTGCTTATGTTGTAATTGCAAAAAAAATTAAAAATATGCCTACTAATACTTTAATAATTTGAAATTACATATCAAAAAAAGAAATCACCGAGAAATCACTCAATTGTTAGATGATTTCTGATTCCCTAAAACTAACTCTGACATCTAGAATCAGAAGTCGCCTAACAATCGAGTGATCTCAGTGCTCTTAATATTTTAATCGTTTATTTTTTTAAGAAATCATTTATTTCTCAATAATTTGGATAAAACCCCACCGTTTGTCACCTTTTGCGTTCTATAAAAAAAAATAAAAAATTTTGAGCAATTTTACTATATACCTTGCCAATGCCTAATCCTGTCGTAAGCACTTAACCCAAACTTAAGCGAACTAAGATTTTTGGTGCGTTACGAACACTATCACACGACTGAAATTTTGATTATGCTTCTCATATTGGAAACCCACAGTAAAAGGAGGCAATGGGACAAAAAATCGTATTCTTATTGATTTAAATCTGATTAAATTTGTCAATATAATTTAGAAGTAAATATATGTATTATGAGCTAGAGATACCGATACAGAGTTTTATGTCAAATTTGTTCAATTGCCAACTCTAGTCATAAGGAGTAGTCAAGTTATCAGTTTACAATCATTTTTAATGATAAAACGAACTTCTATTATACACTATAAAATGGGCTACCACGATAGAAAACAGATTGACATTTTTTTTTAAAAAAATACCTTAACTTTCATAGCTCATATTTCGATAAATTTAAAGCTATTTTAAAATATTAATGCTCAAAAAAAAAAGCTTGGATTACTCAAAAAAAAGCTTAGATTTCAAGCCTTCTTTTGATCATTAATATTGTTCTTTTTATCCGCCTGTTTTCTATCGAATTTCTATCGAATCAGCTCAAATGATTTAAAGTTTGAATTATCAGGTTAGAATCAACTCTATGGCACTATGAGATTCAGGTTACAATCAGGCGATTCTAACTTAGGCTTTAAAATTAGCACGCTAAAAATATTTTTGTGTGAGCTAAGCACATTTTTATTATGCAAAAATACTTTTATCTCACGTGTGCCTACAAAGAAGCTTGTTAAACAATTATAGATGATCATTTTTAACTTTACCACGTTTCTGCCAATTTGACTGTAACCAATCAACCCTTGCCACACTTATATAATTGTCCATAGTCCGTATTCTTTTAAAAGACTTAAACCTTTACCTCTTCGCTTCATAATAAAATTACAAGAATGCAATACTCTTACGACGAGCAGGGGGTTACTTTTAATTACTTCCTCATAACAGTCTTGGCAATTTTTCTGATACCAATTACCATTAAGTTATTAAAGCCAAAAAAAGGTTAATACCTTTTTTTTTTTTTTTTTGTCACTTTCATTCCTTGTAAGATATATTATTGGATCTGATAATATATTTGTGCTTTTTGTATGTTATTATCCGAGTGTGTGTTTTAGAATCTTTGGTAGAATTGTTATAGATTACTATAGATTTTGATTTTAGACTAGAATGGCCTGTGATCTTTTACAACTCGAGTTTTTTATATTTTTAATAGATATAAGATATATATGCATAGCAGACAATAGATAAATAAACAATTCTATGATATTTTTTTTAGGTATAAAAATAAGTAAACCTGAATGTTCTTGTAATGTCTGTAAAGCTCGGGAAATTTGGGTGAAGTCTCAGAAAAAAACTTCAATTAGTGATCGCATTAACAAAACGTATGTATTTTTTATTTAGGTATTTAGTAAAAGAATCCAAATTTTAATTATATATTATTATTTTCAGTGCTATTGGCGTAATTATTGGTTGGATCTTTTTTGCTTTCTTGGCTTATAAAATCGCAACAACAAGTGTTATTGTTGAAATATGGGATCCATATGAAGTATTGGGTATCAGAGAGGTATTATTGATTTTTAGTAATAATTCTAATAATAATTCTAGTAATAATTCTAGTAATATAATTTGATATATTTCTAATTTTGTTTGTCTTGAAAAGGGTGAATTATTAGATACCATAAAAAAACGCTTTAAAGAATTAAGTAGACAATGGTGAGTTACATACATTACTCATAAATCATCATATTTAATAATTGTCGCGGCTGAAGCTGGGATCGGCTGATATTGAGAATTGATTTTATTTTGATATGAAATTTTTGGAGCACGTTTTTTTGATTTTTTTTTTTTTTTAGGGCTATGTTTGAATTGTTAGTAAAAAAGTATAGTAAGTTTAGTAGATTCAAATTGAGACCCTAAATCTCAGCATCAGCTAATTTCAGTATCAGCCGCGACAATAATTTCTACGGGTCATTAAAAGATACTTGCTATTACCCTTAAAATTTTAAGGTATTTTCATTTCAATTAATGCATGATTATATCAACATTATGATAAAGGCATCCCGATAAAGCTCCATTTGATAAAAAGATCGAATACGAAGAGAAATTTATCAATATTTCTAAAGCTTATCAAGTATTAACTAATGAGGAAACTCGTAAAAATTATGAAGAATATGGTCATCCAGATGGTAAACAAGGTTCGTATCATTATTATTTATCTACCCTTTTTTATTTATAACTATTAATTTGTTATTTTAATAAATATTTTGTTTGAAATGATTTTATTTAGCTTATTCCTTGGGTATAGCTCTTCCTACTTGGTTGGTTGAAGCAAGAAATAGTCCAATTGTACTTGGAATTTATGGTGTTGTCTTTGGATTGTTACTTCCTTTCTATGTGGTAAGATTAATATTTATTATCTCGGATTATCATAATCAGTGTTGTCACTGGAAGTAAAATCAATAGTGTCACTGGAACTTAAAGTTCCAGTGACACTATTGATTTTACTTCCAGTGACAACACTGATTATGATATTTGGATCATCGTGAAATCTAAAAACCTAATTGGTTAATTACCCTAACTAATTAGATGAATTAGATTTGTTAATTACATTATTTAATTTCACGATGATCCAAATTTCATGATGATCCGGAACATTTATTATTGTACATCGTTGCAATTTAAAACAATGTTCTTAAATTTTATTTATAGGGTCGTTGGTGGTATAGTTCGAGTAGTTTTACTAAGAATGGAATAAGGACTCACACTATGGATCTTTATTTTAGAGATTTGAGAGCGAATTCTAATTGTAGGCAAATATTAGATCTACTTTCTGCTTCTATCGAATTCAAAGAATTGGTGGAGCAACGTCCCACAGATAATGCAAAGTTATCACCGATTATTACATCAATAAAAGATGAATTGGAAAAACGTTTTGGTGAAAAATACGAAAAAAGTAAAAGGGTGAGTTCTACAATAATAAATTTAAATTTTATAATTTTGATGATAAAGTTAAATTTTATAATTTTGGTGATAAATTTAAATTTTATAATTTTGGTGACAAAATTATTTATTTGAAACAGTATAACGCACCGTATTGCCAAAAAGCGAATGCTTTATTATATGTTCATATGTTGAGAGTCAATATCAATGATAATGATCTATTGAAGGGTATTTTCTTTTTCTTTTTCTTTTTTTTTATTTATATTACATAAATTATTTATAATCATTTTATTCTCATTATATTTTCATAGACAAGTATTACATTGTTGAAAAATCGATTCACCTTGTTACCGGTCTTCTAGAAATTGCATTAGCACATCGCTGGTTGCAAACCGGTATGCGATGCATGGAAGTTTCTCAAATGCTAGTTCAAGCTATGTGGATCCATGAGAATCCATTAGTTCAATTGCCATTTGTGACTCCTGAAATTTTAAAATTCATGAAAATAAAAAAAAAGAATGTAAGGAGCATAGTACAATTACGAAGAATGAATGATGAAGAAATTAAGTAAGTTTATAGTTTGAATTTCTTTAAATTGGTTAATTATTTGGAGCGTAGTTTTAAGACTACATTCTATGTACGCTTTGATCAACGTGTTCGATTGTTCGACATATGATATATTCGTTAAAGTTATAATTTGGTAAAAAAAAAAAGTTTCATTAGACGTGCTTCGGCTAATAATGTCCGGCTGATCGGCACATGATATATTCCTGGTTGAACATTTCACGTTTTCCTAGTTATTATTACTTATTTAATTTATTTATTGTGTTAACAATAGAAATATTATAAAATTATCAAACGACTCTGAATACGATATACTTAAACAAATCGCTGATTCATATCCTATTATGCAAATTGATGATGCTTATTTTAAAGGTACTTATTTTTTTCAACCTTTATTTGACTAAAATAATTTAAATGTTAACGTGTTTTAATTTCGTTACTAGTAACTGGATATGATGTTATCACACCTGGATCTCTCGTTACATTGGTGGTCAAAGTTAAATACTTAGATTCAGCTTCAGAAGCAAGTTATAGAGAATCTAAATTGGCTGATGCCAAACTTGCCAAAGATAACAAAAATCAGAAAACTAACGATAATAAAGATCAAAACAGAGAAGATGATGAAGATGATGAGAAAGGAGAATATCTTGACAGTGAAGATGAATTACTTTATGGTGGATCAAAAAATCTTACATCCGATGAAAAAAGTCCTTTCGTGCATGCACCATATTTATCAAGAGACAAAAAACCTTATTGGTGGATTTTTATGGCCGATGATAAAAGGGATAAAGTTATGATTGAACCCATCAAAATAACTGACATTGTTACTACCAAAACATTTAAATTCCAATTTGCTGCCCCTCGTGATCCAGGCTTATATACTTATGTGGCATATATTAAGAGTGATTCATACGTTGGAACTGATATTAAAAAAGAACTTCGTGTAAGTCCTTCATATTAATCTCTTATACTAATATCTTATTACCATCTTATTATAATTATTATAATTGATTTATTTATTTATTTCTTCTAATATATTAAGCTTGATGTGAAAGATTTTTCTGCGCTTCCACCAGATAATGAAATTGATGATGATATATCAGAACCTGAAGATGATTCATTCGCTGGACATTTAAAACTAGCAAGAGAACAAGGAATTTACGCAGTGATGGCTGGTAACGAAAAGAAGAATGAAGATAGCGATAGTAGTGATGATAGTGATGATGATTAAAAATAAGTTATAGTAAAATATATAAATTTGGAAAATTGTTTAATTTGAGCATTACGGATTTCTTTAAGTCAGGTTAATATTTGAGTTAATTAAGGTAACTCTGTAAGATAAAAAGGATTTACGACGTAAATTTACCTGATCAAAGCTTAAGCATTAATAGAAGGCATAGTCCATCTTCAAAAAAAAAACAAAAAAAAACAATTCTTCTACACTTTCTAGTGATAGACGTTAACAACTCAAGCAATATCTATACCAAACTTTGTTTATATATTACACATTTATTAACATTGGTAACATGTTATTTCAATCAATTTCTTCTGAAAAAAATATCAATAAAGAAGCAATTGTAATAGAATTGAATTTTTTATTTCTCTCGAAAATTCTGTTTTTTTTAAAGTTACAAAAAGTAATTTTTTATTAAAGTCGATACTAGCAATGATAAAATGATAAGCGTGAATGTGTGCTTCCAACTCTAGCGTCCTTAGCAGGGGTCTTTTTCGATTTTTGTAATTACAAATAACATTATACTTATTAGGTTCGTTATAATGTGCTTTTTAATGAAACAACGCTCTTTTTTTGATTAAAATGATACCAAAATTCTTGTTTTTGATATGTTTAATTAAAATATCAAAAGCATAACTTTTTGAATTTTCTGCTTGTTGTGACATAATATACAATTGTTTCGTTTTTGATATTTTTATTAAACGCACATCAAAAACAAGAATTTTTGGTATCACTTTAATCCCGTGCTCGCTCCAGACAATAAAAAGAAATTAAAAACGGTAGTTGCTCATTTGAACTACAGAAGCTAGAGCTAGAAATTGGCATCTAATAATCATGTTAGAAGATTTTAATGCCAATTAACACAAAAACAAACATCTTTTATTATTTACTGAATTAACTACAGCTAATTTAACTAGTCTTTTAACTTTTCATAATATTCAAGTACTTACTTGGCATGGATATTACTAAATCAAACCACTGGTGCTAAACACCAGTAACACAAATCACATGATAATAAGCAGGCTTGTTATACCAACATGTACTACGTATCGCATTTATACTATAACATTATAACTGATAACATATGTATATAGGAAGTAGAATATAACACAAATAAGAACAGATTGTATAAGAAAGTACACATTATAGAAAAATTATCTTTTTTACCTATAAATCCATCTAACCTTACCTCTAACCCTAATCCTAACTCTTATTTTAACCTTAAACCTAATTATAAAAAAAGTTTATTTGTAAGTCACACAATGCAATTTAAGTAAACTAAACAAAAAAAATTGTAATGAATTAATAGGATGTTTTTGCATTCTAGTTTAAAACATTAATTTAAATTTTGTTATTTTTTTTTTTTAGTATTAAGGTGAATTTAAATTTTGTTATATGAATGTGTCTAACTTAAATTAACATAAAGTAAATTTAACATTCTTGTTAAAACAATATAATATATATAAACTTCATATTAAGTTTTATAATATTACTAGTTTAGATTGTGTTTGCATATACAAGTTATGATTATAAATAGTAAAATAGTAAGTACATGCTATTAAATATATTGTAATATGGTTGCTTAACCTAACTAGATTCTAAATATTTGTTTAATAAATATGTCGTCGCCAGTTAAAT